GATGTTTTCTACAATAAAGTTGATAGGTAGGGACGTTGCGCACCAAAAAATCAAACGTAGGGATATTTTCCACACAACCCTTCAAAGGTAGGGACGTTTTGCGCCAATAACCCATCAAAGCAAAAAACTTAAAATGAAATAAAGGAATTTAACTGAACGACGGATGGAAAGGAGGGGCTCCAGCTCAATGTAACGGACGGACATTCAAGCAATCTCTGAAATTGCTGCCTCCCTAACTTTGCTGGCCCCGCTTGTTAACTCGTAGGCCACCTCGAAAGCGTCCTGCAACCTGATCCGCCTGCTGTTCTTATGCACACCCCACAAGTGTTTCACAAAATTCTCCCGATCCTCCATATCCTAATCGAAAACAAAATCATGTCATTTAACTATTTCATCTAAGAGTTACGTTGTCATGTATTCATTTAAACCAATTGACTTTTTCAACAAAAGTGCTATGAATGAATAAAGATATAGAACACTTCAACGAGTATATACAGGTAAGTGTATCATATAAGAACATCAAGATTGTTGGCGGCGGGAAAGTCTGAGCTGTCAGATCAACGGTTGAAGTTTCAAAATTTTCAATTTTCGAAAAATTGGATTCGATAAATAAATTTCAGCAACCACTCAAAAACATTTTAGAGTTCAATTAGTAGAGTGTGACAGATGTGTAACTTTAGTGAGTAAAGTGTGAACGATGTATAACTCACTAACTAATGAAATATGGTGAATGAGCGATAGGGTGCAACGTGTTAAAATTCAGTGACCACTCAAAAGTGTTATAAAATTCAGTAACTCATAAAAAAATGGTGAGCAAGTGATGGAGAACAATGTTTTAAAATTTAGTGACCACTCGGAATCAAGTATAACGAATGTATAAGTTCAGTGACTAATGAAACATTTAACTCTCAAAAATTCCAAAATCCCCCTTGTTTTATTAACAGATTTTGATAAGTTGATGAAATTGTGGATGGAAATTCGTGAATCCCATAAATACGTTGTTGAAATTAATTGTTAACTTCAACCTATATTTGCCAAAGAAGAGCTTAAAATATTTGAGAGTATTTTTAAGTGATTGTAAGTCTTGAATCTTATGAAATATGTAAATAACAAGTGAGTTCTACAAAGCATGTATAAAAAATATATTTGATCAACTTAATTTAATTTAAACATTGCCTTGCACTTCATTATTATAAACTAAATTTTATAGTATTTAACTATTAATAACTAAACGGAATCATTGCAACAGCAGTCCCAAACATTTGGATTTTTAACTGACTTTACCTTAACCTTCAATTTGTGTCATTGGAGGTCCCAAACCTTTGAAAATTAGCAGCTGAAGTCCAAATGGATGAAAATCGTCAATTTGATCGTTAGTTGATCAAGAAAATTGAACTTTGACCAAATTGAAAAGGGTAAAATGATAATTTTATAATTAACAATTTTTTTGCAAATATTATTAACAATAAAAAAAAATAAAAAATCTGCCCACCCTCATCTTCATCTATTTCATCAACCCAACCCCCTAACCCCATCCCAACATCCAACCAAGCACAATCCAAAGCCACCAGCCGCCACCATCAAACCCAAACCAACCGCCACCAGCAAACCCACAATCAACTGGTGGACGATTATCCCGTCTATCTCAAATTAAACAATTCAGTTCTACAAGAAATTATTGGTGGAAAATCCCACCACCTCCACCGTGACAGCAACATAGAACATCTGATCAAGTACTAACCAATGTGATGCACTTTCCCTATTTGAAACCCTCCAAGCAAATCAAGCTATTGCTATAATCGAGATGCACTTTTCCTTTCTTGAAAGTAAATGGCACTATCCTTATGTTTGGTACAGAGAGTCCCCTGAATCCATGGTTTTTGGCTTGATCACAAAATTGGTCGAAAATGGGTTTTATGAACGAAAAAAAAATCATGTATACCATGAGAGAACAGAAATAGGTAAGAATCACTCGAGTAGATCTTCTGAAATTCTTGTGACTTCTGGGTTCGATTTAATGGAGGCGATGGTCGAATTTAGAAGGAATAAAAGTGGAAATTGATGATTTTGGTTTTTGTGTGGTTGTGGGCTTGGTGGTGGCGGTTGGCGACTTTGGATTATGGTATGAATGGATGTTGGGGGTTGGGACAATTTTTTTTTTGATTGTTTTTATTGTTAATAATATTTGGAAAAAAAAAATGTTAATTCCAAAGTTATTGGTCAAAATCCAATTTTCTTGGTCAACCAACGGTCAAATTGATGGTTTTCATTAATTTGGACTCAACTGCTAATTTTTCAAAGATTTGGGACTCCACTAACACAAATTGAAGGTTAAGGTAAATTCTATTAAAAATCTATAAATTTGGCGCTGCTGCAATTATCCCCGACTAAAATTGATGGATAAAGCCACTCAAACAGGGTTNCAGACTGTGATTCGCCCGTTTTTTTAAAAAAAGCTCCACTTTCCGATGAAATCTCGCCAAGTGTGTTTGTAAAAAATTTCCTGTCAATTTTCCCTGTTTTTCATGCTATAAGTTCAATGACTAAAGAATACTTGTAAAATAAAGAAAAAGTCAACATACATTTCGATGCGGTGCCCGTACTGCTCCGCCGCACAGGGGCGTTGCGCCACCAGTACCAGCGGCCGTTATATAACTGAGTGCGCGTCGTGTGGCCGCGTAGTGGAGGAGCGCCAAACGCAGCCCCACCATCTCTTCCACATCCGTGCACAAGACTCCCCTCTCTGTCTATCCACATCCGACCTCCCCTCCCCAATCATCTCTCACTCCGAAGACCCCTTCGAGCCGACTGGGTTTATTACGGCCTTCTCCACCTGGTCGCTCGAGCCTTACCCGATATTCGCCCATTCTTCTCTTTCGTTCGCTGGCCACTTAGCTGAACTCGAAAGAGTGCTTGAAACGACGTCGCCGAGTAATTCGAATTCAAACTCGGTGGTGGTGGATAATTTAAGGGCTTATTTGCAGATAATTGATGTAGCATCGATTTTGGGGCTTGATTATGATATTTCGGACCATGCATTTCAGCTGTTTAGGGATTGTTCTTCGGCTACTTGTTTGAGGAATCGAAGCGTAGAAGCGCTAGCCACTGCAGCCCTCGTGCAGGCCATTAGGGAAGCTCAAGAACCTAGAACCCTTCAGGTATTGTGAATATTAGTTTGTTACTTTAGCGTCATTGTGATTGGGTATTTTGTTTGAAATTTTTGGGAACTCTGAAATTTTTCTATGGAAATTGGAATGGATTATGCGAATTTGAGGTGCTGCGAAAGTTTTAGATGAGCATTCTAAAGAATTTGTGGAAATGCTACCACGAAGTGCATCATTTGGCGTTTGCCAATGTCAATATAAAGGCTTGTAGTTTAGATAACATTGTTAAGAAAAGGAAAAAAATCTAGTGGTACTATTTAAGAGTTAAGAGAACTTTTACATGTCTTGATTAAGAAATCCCTTGATTTAAAGTGGGAGGTTCTTAGATTCAGCTGCTATGATCAAATTTACTGCCTATCATTGAATCTGTAGTTCTGCTGTTGGTAATGCAAAGTTGGATATCTATTGGATTCATATGGAATCGGTTGAAATTTGTATTAGGATTATTCCGAAACTTGTATTAGGATTATTCTGTCCCCATGTGGAGGTACTTGTTATTTTTGGTTATTTGTATCAGAAAAGGAAGAAAGAGGACACCAATTAATGATGTTGACGTTGCAAAAGTAACAATGTACTATAGAAACAGTTTAGATATCTTTAACTTTCTGGGCTCTAAAAACATCTCTAACACATGTATTGCCCTTAGTTTCTTTTTGTTTTTGGAATGGTGGAAAGATTTTCCAAAAACCAGTTAGTCTTCACATGTCAAAAAACATGGGTGATTTATCTATGCCCCTGTCTGGGCTCCATTTTTGTAAAAATACATTTTTCCTTCTTATTTTCAACCACACATTTTTAAAAAAATAATATTACACGTAAACCCAATAAAATTTCTTATTTTTTCACCACACACTCTCCGAAAAAAATACTATTCCAAAATATTAAGGGATGAATTCCACATCGGTTAAATGCCTAAATATAGATCAATATATAAAGGATTGGGCTACTCTTAATAATATGGAATTCCAAGTTTGAACAGGTATCAAATCGAGCTTAATGAGTAATTTGATTCGATTAAGGCTCAAAATAAATACATGAATTTCAAGATTAATCTGCTCAAATGAGCTACTATCTTGCGGGGCATGTTAAGGAATAAATCTCACATCGGTTAAATACCGAAATATAGACTAATATATAAGAATTTGAACTACTCCTCTTAATAATGTTGACCTTTTAAGATGGAACCCCAAGTCAAAATACAAAATACATTTTCCCCCCAAAATCCATTTTTAATGGAGCCCAAACGGGGGCTATGTTTGAAGTTTCCATTCGTATTTAATCATCTTGTGCATAAGAATACTTAATTTCAACCTTTTACACTAGCATTAGACACTGTTTATACTGGTGGCCCAAGTTATGCATTCAAATCATGAGATGTTCTAATTTACAATCCTGTGCACATATGTTTGAAAATCAACTTGATTGTTGGTTCAAAAAAAATACAGTATTTGATTAATATAATGAAGAAATAAAATGCAATGAGTTCTACACAGTTCCTTATGTGTAAACATCAGCTATTCGTTTTAAGATTGATCCAATTATTAGCAAGTGTTGCTGTTCAGGAATTCCCACCCGTTTAGCAAATGATCGTGTTTGTGTTAATCCAACTTACCAGCCACCTATTTAGACCCAACAGGACAAAGTAAAACTGCCATCCTTGCCAATGCTCATGACCATTTACCGAAAATCCCCACTACTCTCACTATATCCACCTATAATGATACTTTCGATTCAATACACAAGGGAAAGGAAAGTTGTTGCCACCACCATGAAACCTTCCACAGCCATAATCACAGGCTGTCATGTAGGCTTCATCTATAGATGTTGTTAGTTATTGCTATTAATTTTTTTCTCTCTTTGTTAACTATTATCAGCTTGACAGTTAATAGGATGTGTAACTACGCACTGTCTAATTAAAGTTTAATCTAAAATCTTTGGACAAGTGCTTTTATGTTTATTACACCTAAAATCCGCACTTACCTGTCTCACAACTTGGTTATTCGCCTTCACATTTTATTCTTAACTTTGACAGAGATGACAGCACAAGTTGGAGCATGTGAACTCGTACAACCATTCTTGTGTTTTTCAGATTTCTTAGAAATGTCTAATGTTTAGAATCTCAAACTTGTCATTTTCTTTTGTGTACCAGGAAATATCAATTGCTGCCAATCTACCACAAAAGGAGATAGGGAAATATATCAAGATACTTGGAGAAGCTCTACAACTAAGTCAGCCTCTTAATAGCAATTCAATATCAGTCCACATGCCAAGATTTTGTACACTTCTCCAACTCAACAAATCTGCTCAGGTACTTGTTGATGCATCTCGTAAATGATCATTGAGGGATCATTTATTTGGGTTTCTTAAAACTTTCCTTGGGCGAAGGACTCGTGACACTTTGAGTTTGTTTGGCTAAGCTTAAAAGGTTCATTTATAAGTAAATAAGTTGTAAAATTAGCTTCTCTTTTAATAGATCGAAATAGAGAATAAGTTATTTGACCCTAAGATAAGAGTTACTTTCGAGAGCTTGTTTTCATCCTGTTGAAATCCCGAATTGATTAGAGGAATAATTGTGTTGAGGATTTCCCTTTCCATAGATAGAATCTATTGATTGATTTATTGCAAATTTGTAGAGATTGTAGGATAATTTATTTTCCTTTTTTCTTCTTTCTATGTACTATAAATAGGGACTCTTATACTGTACAATATTCATGAATCACAGAAAAACGTTCTGATTTCACATTATAACCTCCTAATTTGAAGTCAAAGTAAATTTAACCACACATTTACAGCTACTACCCCACTTTTTATCCACACATTTAGTAGTACTCAGTACTTATAATGGAACCAAACAAACAATTGTAAATTGTTTTTTACTTAAAAGTAAGAAAAAAATAATTTATCCAAACATATATGGTCCATACTTATTTTTAAGCCTAGCCAAACATGCTGAAGTAAGAAAATGGTGTGATGGAGAACTCTAACCGGTGCAAAAGAAGAAATTTCTTTGCTTCCTTTGTAATTTTTGAATGCTGTCTTATCTCACACATTTATGATATGTGACTGACATTTTTGAGGATATTTGCATCGTCTTTTGCTGCTTCTTTTTTTTTTTTTGATTCTGCAGTATTAAATAAACTAAGATATCAGTTCGAACATGATGATTGTTTTCTTGTCTATCTTCAAGCTTTATTTCCATGAGATCTCATTCTAACTGGCTCTTAAAACCTTTTCAGGAGTTGGCAACTCACATTGGTGAGGTTGTGATGAACAAGTGCTTTTGCACCCGTAGGAACCCTATTAGTATATCTGCAGCTGCCATTTATTTGGCCTGCCAATTGGAAGATAAACGTAAAACACAGGCTGAAATCTGCAAGGTGACAGGCCTAACAGAGGTCACTCTTCGAAAAGTTTACAAAGAGCTGTTGGAAAATTGGAACGATCTACTTCCATCAAATTATAATCCCGTTGTTCCTCCAGAGAAGGCATTTCCGACGGCAACCATTCCTTCAGGTCGTACCCTGACTTCTAGAAATGATCCAGTCGAGGGGCCTTCATCGGACAAGGACAAGCATTCTGAAGGGAAGTATACTAAAGCGAGTGATATCTTAGACTTATCCCGTCAAGCCAGAGGTAAAGACAATGCTATGCACGTCCCACCATCTTCTTGGGGGGCCCAGGTTCCAGTCGGAGCTTCTACTACTCAAAAACCTGGCGAAAGGAATCAATTTGCGACCCAAAATATGGAAATTGATTTACAGTACAAGACTCGAGAAGAGAAAAGAGTAGATACTGATGCAAGGGGTGCGTCTAGTTCTCCAAGCTCGGTTCATTTTCCTAATCTTCCGGCTTTAGCTGCAGGTGTCGTCCCATGGCCATTTCAGCCTCCAACGACATCGTCCCATTCGCCTTCTGTTCAGTTTGTGCAAGAAGCGAAAGGAGCTTCCAATGCTGTAGATGAAGGATCCTCGAAACACATTGCGAATCAGAAGGATATTTAATGAACTATTAAGTTAATACATAAAATCATTTTCTAGTTTCACTATGTCAC